AAATATTAAAAAACTAAAAAAATTACAATTATAGCTACGGCTAAGCACTCACAGACGAAACATAAACCTATCACTATATATGTAAGGACACCATCCTAACCAAAGAATATAATTAAATAAATATATAGAATAAAATATAAGAAAAGTAAAAATCAAAATGCTAACATTACTTGTAAAATTATTTAAATATTTTCATAAATATTTTTAATATATTAATTTATTAAAAATATTTAAATTTCTTATTATTACTTTTAACATTTTAATTTTCGTAACGTTTTGATATTCCATTATCCCATAATATATATATATATATATATATATATATATCATTATGCATCCATCTGGCGTTGATGGATGGTAGGCGAGAGGTGAAGGTGTAGTTAATTGTTTATTATTTATTATTTTATTAAAACTATTTGATTTTATTTAGTTTAATTATTAAAAATAATTAATAAGTAATAAAATAATTAATATTTATGATTTAATAAATTTAAAAGTAATATTTTAAAATATTATAATTAATTATTAAAAAAATAAAAATAAATAAAACATCAATTAAATTAAATATTTATTAAATAACCTTAACAAGATATTGGTGTGCATATCCATACCCCTGCAGTGACAGAAGATGTGGAATAGTAGAAACAAGATAGGGTGTAGTGATGAAGGAATGATGGTGGGCAACGAATATTGATTGTACAATAATTGTTTGGTAATATAAATGTTTAGTTGATATGGTATACATAAAAATGTGTTTAATACTATGAATTATACAAATCAATATTGATGTTTTACCTTCTTCCTTTTACCTCTCACCTTCCATCTCCCATCTCCCATCTCCCATGTTCACTTAATTTCATTTAGAGTTTATTAAACTACATTCATAGGACCACCATATTTATAAAACTAGCAAGATTTGTTCAATGTTTCACTTAGTTCATAAATCTTTAATTAAGTTTATTCATTAATTTTAAGTAACATTCACTCTTTAATTTATATATAGGCTTGCATTGTATGAAAATATAGAAAAATGGAAGAATAGAAGACCATACTTCTAAAGCTTTTCTTTTGTATCATATCTTCTCCTTTTTTTTTTTTTTTCAATCTTGTTCTCTTATTTTATCCTTATATATTTTTATTTCCTCATACTTAAATATCTCTTATTACAAAATATGTTATTAGTATGAATTATCTATATGTGATTTTCTTTGTGATTCGATTTGAGGTAACAAAAATTTTAAGGTAAAATTATTGAAATAAGATTTTTATCTTTATTTTCCATTATCTTCAATATACTTTCATGATTATTCAAGTTCATATATAGTTAAGAAACTCATTTAATAAGTGTACAATAATTGGTTTTATCTTTTCATTTAATCACAATAAGAGAAAAACCCTAATGCAATCTTTTTTTTTTTTTTATGAATAACCCTAATGCAATCTACTTCATCCCAATCCCAAATAAAGGTAGAAT